ACCCTTAGTTATTTCATAAAAAGGTGGGGGGCATTAAAGAGAGTAGTGACTGGGTAGTGTATCATTGATCTGGTCTTAGAAAATCTACCCTTTTGTAGACAGTTATTGGGTGATGTGAATGGATCAGGATAGTCTGAACTGGTACAAAGTACTAGGTTCTAATTCCTCTCTCCATTAACAATGAGACTTTTTCATATCACCAATAATGACAATAGGAATTGTTATTAAGCAGAGGTTAAAGTGTTCCCAAGTTTTTGGTATGGCCAAAGTTGGTGCCCAGACTATTAAGTGTGCTCCAGGCTATTAATTGGTTCTCCTTCCCTGTAGCAGTGGTTCATTTAGATAATTGAATCAGAAACCTAGGTATGTGCCCTGACCGGGAATTAAACCACAACCTTTTGGTGCATGGGATGACACTCCAACCAACTGAGCCACCTGGTCAGGGCTATTAAGCAAATTTTTATTGAGACAAATTCCCTTAAGTTAACTAAAGGTTCTTAATCAATTTTCTAAACTGTACAAATAAACCATTTCCATCTTTCCATTTGTAATTTTAATCTATCCAAATTATTTTCATTGGGATTGATGAGTTTCGTTTTAACTTTAGAGTAAGAATTTGCTTTATCTAAAAATTATTTTCATAGCAAAAATTTACCTTGAATTATAAATGTTCATTTGTGAACATTATTTTTTATCAAGGTGTATTTTCCTGACTCAAATTTTACAGATCTAAAATTTTCATGAATGTGTGATTTTTCTGTAAAATTATGGTCGTCAATAAATTCTGTCTTGTGCAATTTCAACACTTGTCATTTTTTCCCATGGAGGTTATTTTCTCAGGTTACTTTTCACAGTTTTCAATGTTACAAATGACATGTAGTTTTTAAGTATTTTGTTTCTAATAAAATTTACTATGTGCTGTTTTAGACATTGACCATTTTATTTTGTGTTGATTAGTTCAAATAGTTATATTTATTATTACTTGGAAATTGGTATTAATTTCTTGGCTATTCCATGAGGAAATTGCTATCAACTTCCCTCAGGTGTCCCAGAATTTTCCCATTCTTCAGGATGGATCTATACTATTGCACATCGAATACTTATGAATATAATCTTTTCCCTTGTGATTTGTTCCTGGCAATCTTCTTTAGTGCAAGTCCTCCTGAGTTACAGTGGCAATTACCATTACTTTAAATGGAAAAAAATGTTATGCATCCCTGAGTTCCGAAATTGACACCCATTTTGTTAAAACCAACACATTTCCATTAAAATGGGCTTATCTAATAAAGAGGGAATATGCAAATTGGCTGTCACGCTGTAATGGTCAAGATGGCTGCGCCCACAGCGGAGGCAGGGATTCCGTAACACAAGATGGCTGCGCCCACAGTGGAGGCCAAGTTCCTGTAATGAGCCTTAACGAGCAATCTTTTTTGTGCCCCCCGCCTGGTAGGGCTTGACAGGGGACCTCAGGCCACAACTCCTGCCCCAGCGCCAGGCCGGGGACCTCAGGCCGCACCCCCTGTCCTGGTGCCAGGCTGGGGGACCTGAGGCCGCGCCCCTCCCCACCCAGCAGGGCTTGACAGGGGACCTCAGGCTGTGCCCCCTTCCCGGTGGGGCTTGATGGGGGACCTCAAGGTGCACCCCCTGCCCCAGTGCTGGGCCAGGGGAACTCAGGCTGCTCCCCTCGCCCAGTGGGGCTTGACGGGGGACCTGAGGTTGTATCCCCCACTCAGTGGGGCTTGACAGAGGACATTAGGTTGTGTCCCGCTCCCGGCACCGGGCTGGGGGACCTGAGGCTGTGCCCCTCGCCCAGCGGGGCTTGACGGGGGATCTCAGGCCATGTCTCCCACCCAGTGGGGCTTGATGGAGGACCTGAGGCTGCACCCCCACCTGGTGGGGCTTGACAGGGGACCTGAGGCTGCGCCCCCCACCCGGCACTGGGCCAGGGTACCTGAGGCTGTGTCCCCCACCTGGTGGGGTTTGACAAGGGTGGGGCCAGCTGGGTCTGGATCTCACCCAGTGAGGGTGGGGCCAGCTGGGTCTGGGTCTCACGATTTTGAGGAGCTGGAGGTGGGCAGAGACTTGACTCTGGGTCCCGCGGCATGCCCCAGACTCTGACAGGAGGAAGATTTTCATATACATTTTACTAATTTTCTTTCATCTCTGACA